AAAGAAAAGAATATATGTATATGTATATATATATATATATATATATATATATATATATATATATATATAATGCAATACACATACACCATGCATGCATTACAGTTATGTAAATGCAAAACAACTAAAATAATAATAATGATAAATTATAATGGGCCTAAAAGTAGACTTTCTGTGTGCAAAATATAATTTTCCATCCTTTTGATTTTGGGGTGAAATACGACCTGGACAGTTTCACCCATGCTTTGGAAATTTTATTTTTCACAATTACTCAAGTATAAACTGTTAAATTAGATCCCTTTTGATTTGTTTGTATGTTCAGATGCGTAGCTTTAGCTCTTTGAAATGGTGCATATATAATGGTGCATTACTGTTTTTTTCCTTTTCCTTTAAGATATGCAGTAAACTGTTTGAAAAACTAATTTATGTGCATATGCTGCTGTGGGCTAAAATAGTTACATGTTCATATTTAGATGTCAGTGGTTAAAGGTTCAAACCTATGCAGGAGGGCCAATGAAAGCACCTGCTAAACTTCAAATGACTATTTTAAAATGTAATGACATGGTTCCAGTGTTTTTTTTAGAGTGTAAAGAATGAGAAACAGTACAGCTGGTACATTCAAGCTACTTTCTCTTCTGTTTTTAGTTGAATGTCTTTTGTTGATTAAATTCCACACACTGTCTTATTACACACTGAGCAAACTCTTCCAGTAATGCATGCAAACAGATTATTGGTGAATCAGGTACACCACAGTAAGCCATGTACGTTACAGGCTCTATGACTGTAATTAAAATTATTTTCTTTTTCTGTGAAAATGAAAAATATAAATGATGAAAGTGCATTGAAAATGGACCAAATGGCAAGAAGTTAATGTCTCCATTTTTGTCATATATATGTTTAGTAAAGTTCATGTCAGCAAAATTAAATACTTCTCCATCTGTTTGGTATGTACATGGGTCATGTGATATTCTCATGTGATCTTTTTGATAACTGACAGTTTCTCCTTTCCTATTGCGCTAACACTGATACTAATACTGATATGTGACCCTGGAGCACAAAACCAGTCTTAAGTCGCTGGGGTATATTTGTAGCAATAGCCAACAATACATTGTATGGGTCAAAATGATTGATTATTAAATCTAAATTTCGAAAAATGGACCCTTATGACTGGTTTTGTGGTCCAGGTCACATATAATACTGATACACTAATACCACAGTAATGCTCTGTGGTAACAGCACATGATGAAAAAACAAACTTTCGGCCTGTGTAGAGCAAGATGTGGTACTTTTTACTGTGTTGTGCAGTTTTTGTGACACTTGCTGTATGAATACACACAATTATAAATGATTAGAAAAGGCTAAATGGTCTTTAAAAAATCACATGTGATCTGCACAGTCAAAAATGACAGGAAATTAATGGGAATTAATACAGAGCAGTTTTTTTTGTTTTAAAATCTGCAAATCAGCCTCTAAGTAGTCCTTGGTCATCTCTAAATAAATACATATTCAAATGATAAAATAGGTCTAATAAAACAGGTCTTAAAATACTCTTATTAGCAACTAGGGAATACAAAATGTATAGTGCTACAGCATCTCGTGGCTACACAATTCGTATTACATGCGATTTTCTTTATTTCTCCCACCAGGTGGCATCAATGCATGGATTTGAACTTAAACACTGTTTAAGTATTAACTATTTATAAATTATATTTACTTCCTAATATTATAATTATTTTCTATAAATACATGGTGCATATCTTAGATGTCAGTATTGTCTAGTACCATCATGCAATCCCTTCGCAAAAGAAAATATTAAAGAATTTATTGTGATATTATGGCATACGTTTGAACATTTATGCCTTTCATTGTTTTGTGTATGACTTTGATCTTCAAACACACTTTGAAAAAGCTTCAGTAAGTCTGATGTGCAACCACCGAAGTGTTCAAATCAAGACACGATGGTTTCAGTGGTTGATGTGCTTTGTAAACTAGTAAACTGTACGTTAAGTGAATCTGTCAGTACACGCGCTGATGGATTCCGTGAATTCGTTCAAAGAAGGATTCGCCAGACTGAATCAAACAGGTTCCTCAGTTCGTGACTCTTTTCAATTCTGCTCATAAAAATCATTTTTGCGAGATACTAAAGCCACTACATGTAGCCTACACAGGAACCTGTGACACGTACAATTGAAATCGATTAGAACACGCCAATGTTACAAATTAACATGTTAATTTCATATACAGTCAAGTAATTGCCATTTTTATACAGCACAGATCAGAAAACCTAAACGTCGCTCCTTCAGCTCACTACATGTACATTTAGCACACACTAGTTGTGGCATCTTCCAGTCCACTGGAGGGCAGTAACAAAGGAAACATCAACATTTTCCGCATCCGCTCAAGATGACACTGTCAGCCTCAACGATCATATTACAACAATAATACCGTCTTTCCCCCCCCCACATTATTCCGCGGGTTTTTGCTGAGGAATTCGCTGTGCGAGAATCGTTTTCATAAGGTATTCACCGTCTGAATAATGTGGCTTTTGTTATTTGTCACTGTGCTGTTCATTTAATTTACTTTTTACATAAAAGGCCCGAAGAGAGGGTCACTACCGAGCTTATTTACCTTAGAAAACCAAGTGAAAACATTCATATGTATATATAGACGTATTTCTAATGTTCCTGTGGCTCAGTGGTAGAGCACTGCGTTAGCAGCGCAAAAGGTCGTGGGTTTAATTCTCAGGGAACACGCATACTGGTAAAAAATGTATAGCCTGAATGCACTGTAAGTCGCTTTGGATAAAAGCGTCTGCTAAATGCATAAATTAAATTTAAATTTTTAATAACATGGCATTGGCAGCGTTGCAGTAATAATCAGATTGTGTGTTGCAACTTGCACGTGGTGCACAAACAACAATAACAAAACGCCCACCTGCTGAGAGTCTTGATGAAAATACCAGATTTGGAACAAGTTGACACGGGTTTTAGTTGGTCGTCATGATGCCAGTAATATCACAGTTTTCTGATTCTGTCTCTGTGTCTTTTTTAGGGGGATTATTTTCACCGGGGTCATTCACTGCATCAAGGTGTCCTCGAGGAGACGGGAAGATGTCAGAAGCCTTTTTCCTCACATTCCAGTCTCAGCTCTCCGTTGTCATGGAGACCGTCCTCAAGTCAGCCATGTTTGAGATAACCAGGCTGGTGGAAGACGGCTTCCTCGAGGAAGTGGGTCACCGTAAACAGGAGGTGGAGGTCTTGAAACGAAGGTTGCAGCTGTCTGAGAGTAAACTGAGGGAGAGGGAGAGGGAATGGGAACGGGGGAGGAAGACACGGTGCCCGGACTGTGGTCGAACAGGAGAGTCCAGCAGCAGAGATGAGAGCCAGCCTGTAGAGACAGTCCGGGGTAAGCTAAAACTTCTGTTATTATTGATAACTTAAACTATTCAAATCCATCCATCCATCCTTTCCCGTTATAACTTATCCTATGTTGGGAGGGCTGAAGCCTACTCTGAGTCAAACCCAAATGCAGGCTATTAAAAACTGTTTATAAATAAAAATAAATGTATTAAATGTAAACATGTAACTTAGTTGAAAATCTAAATGGCTGAAATAAAACAAGTTGAAATGCTAAAACGACTCAAACTGAAATAAAAATAGTTTTAAGTGAAGGTAAATAAAAAAACAAAAACAAATCCCAATAAAAATGACAAGGCTAATTAAAAGTATTTCAAAAAATGCTAGTATTTAAATAATACTGAAATAACACTGGTTACAGCATACATATCTAAAACTGGACAATATCAAGGCACTAGAATTAAATAGGCTAAATCTGAAATACATAGATTTAAATAAAGATAATACTAAACATCATATTTTTACATTTAAATGTGACCTATTATTAATAATTTATATATAGAATAACCATATTTGTGTATACTATTACTAATCCATTCCACACTCATACACATAATTACAGTAATATTATATAATATATATATTATTATTATTTATTACAACATTATGAATATATTCTATCCATCCATCCATCTCATGACCTTTTAAAATAATGTATTATTGTTAGTCTTTGTAATACTAATCTTATTATTATGATTATATTCCTGCCCTTGGAAGTTCACCAAAGCATGTCCCTCAAAATATTAATTTTCATTATTAATTTAATAAATATTTGCAAGCTACAACAGTGTGCAGTGCTTTCTCCATTCTCACAAGCAAATGGTTATAGGTGTTTTTTTAATTTACTTTTATCATTGACCTGCAGAATGACTGTTTCATCTTACAAATCAGTTCAGTATTCTTTAAATTATTGTAGTCCTCCATTTATGGATTGCAATGCATCTTGTTATTTTACTGTTAAGAACATCACATGGCATATATATGTTCTTCATATGTTCAAATACTTTTTGTGCTGTTCCTTAATTTAGTTTCCTTTCTTCTTGTGCAGGAGCAGACAGCCTTTGTTTAGGCCTAAGCCTGAGAGATCAGTCTATCAATCAGCCTACTCTGACTGAAGAAGCGTGGAGTGCCAGACAACGCCTGGAGTCTAACAAACGAACAACAGCACACACACACTCTAAGGAGAAGAATGATGTACACAGACAGAATGCAAAAGAGATCGTCACACCTAACTCTAATGCACAAATTCATCAGGATTTTCTGCAGAGGATTCTGGGCAATTCAGTCATTCACAGTGAGTCTACTAGTGACTTCCAACCCAGAGTGAGCAATTTAGATAAATCTGACAAAAACTTTGCTCTCGATAAGGAAATGGACTCAAACCACTCAAGACTGTTACAAAGTCCTTCGGCTCAGGATGCGCACGAGGACTTGCCGTCGTCTTCGCCAAACAGCAGAGTAAAAACAGAAACGGAGCTGGATCTTCTACCTGTCAAGGAGGAGGAAGAGATGGTTCCGGTGTGGGACAGCGTCAACCGAGATGACGGATGCCATGCAGAAATGGCTGATCCGAGTCAGGGAGAGCTCAGAGGACCTTGTGATCAGGAGGAGATACAGGTAGAAAGCTTTCCAGGTCTAAACTCTCTCGACATGCCAGATGCCACCTCATATTTCACACCTTATTCAGTCAGCACACTGGTACATCAAGGTATTAGGGCACAACATAGTCATTTATGCACAACAGAGCTGATGCTCTCTAGCATACCAGAGAGGTCACATTCATTTGTCCAACCAGAAAATGGACAAAGTTATCCTGGTTCAAAGAGTTCCATCCTCTATTCTCACATTGATGTTTGTCCAGGCGAGAAAGCAATCAGCCATGCACAATACCCAAAGTGTTTCTCCCAGGACAAATATGGGACGCCTGAACAAATCCATGCAGAAAGATCCCACCATTGCACCCAATGTGGGAAAAAGTTTGCGAGAGCATGCGACCTCAAGGCTCATTCGCTGATCCACAAGGGCAAGAAGCCTCTGAGCTGTTCGCAGTGCGATCAGACGTTCACGTACAACTTCGAGCTCAAGGCTCACCAGCGAAACCACTCAGGGGAGCGACCTCACGTCTGTCCACACTGTGGCAAGGCCTTCACTCGAATGAGCAACTTCAGGCAGCATCAGAACATCCACACGCGGGAAAAACTCTTCAGCTGCACTCAATGCGGGATGCGATTCAATCGAGCCACCAACCTACGAGTTCATCTCAGACGACACAGCCACGCGGGGAAGACTTACAATTGCCCTCATTGTGGAAAGAGCTTTCTGAATCCCAGGCAAATGAAGGCTCATTTACTGAAAGTCCATGGAAGAGGAGGGAAATAAACATATCTAATTTATGTTTGGAAATTCAGTTTGAACCGATTCCGAATTGGATCAATTCATGTTTACATGTTATAAATGGTCTGCGCTGTTAAAACTCAAGAAGATACCACTGTCCCATGGTTGCCACCTTAGAGACAACTAAACAAGATGTGGACAAATTGTTATGCATGGAATCTTTGCATTACGGAAAGATGAGGAAACTTATTTAGGTTTCCTTATTTAGGTTTAATACATCTGCATATATAAATTGGAATGACTGATTTTCATCAACAGGAATTATTTTGCTGTTGAATGATCAATGTGTAATAGCTGGTATATATTATGTATTTAATGTTTTTATATATTCCTTCCAACTACATTAAAGACAGAGTATGTATGTAGCACATCCTCTTTCCTGAGAATGTCTTTTTAGAATTAATTTACACTTAAAATTTTGACTAAAAAGGTACCCTGGCCTTCACTTAAATTGTGATGTGTCCCTGTAGCTTCAACTTTCATGGCATTTTGTTGGAAAAAGTAAATGAACCATCAGATGTAGCAACTGGTAGCACCTCTCTTTCTTGTTCCTGACAAACAGTCCCACCTCATCAAGTCAGTAAAGTTAGTCCAAAATGCTCCATATCCATTTCAGTCTTCCATTCAGACTTCAAGTCTCCTTTTCAGTGTTTCTTTTTTTTTGGGATTGATGAACACTCTTGTTGGACAATACAAGACCTCCTGCTCAGCCATTTCCACAAGATTTCTGTGATCTCCTGCAGCATTGTGTCTTGATGCCTGCCTCTCCTGGAGTGATTGTAGTCGGACAACTATTATCCCCCACATACAGGTCATTATCTGATGGATTTGTATACTTTTTTCCAACAAAAGCAGTAAATGCTAGCAATAGACATTAAATTAGGAATATTTAATTTGATATTTGATACTTTTTAATATTCCTTCTGACTAATGCAAGACTGCAGATATTTCTGACAAACAGCACTCCATATGAAATATAATATTAAATGAATATTGTCTGTTTTTGCAGACTTATCTTTGTCTGTTATGATAATAAACAAGCACATTATATGCACGTGATAGAATACATAACCTGAGAATTAACTGTATTTTAATTCAAAGCGGTCAGTCTCTCAACCACAAAACATGTTTTTTGAGCAGAATATTACAGAAGCATAGCAATGTTTCTAAATTCATCCAAATTGATACGAAATTAACAATGGAAATTGTGGTTTACTCATTTGTTGTTGTGTTTGTTGTAGATTGGCCAAAGGTTTGCAGAGCACATTTCCACGGAACAAGGAAATTTACACCCCATAAACAAGCAGAGGACGTTCAGTGTAAGCAGTTATACAAAGTGAATTTCATTTATAGGCTTTTGAACGATCATCAAGTGACCAGTATTACTTGTTTCTTGTGTTTTCACCAGGTTGTGGCCAGGGAGATCCTGACTCAGTTTCAGGTGTGGCAGAGGGCCTGCTATAGCAGGAACATTGAGTGGGGTCCGATTACAGCAAAGGTTCAGTCCTCTCTATTTGTTCTGTCTGATGAGATGATCTGTTTTGATTATCTGAAATGAATAAAGATAAAGTCATGTTTTCAGAGAGTGTATTTGTGCTTTACTTTTACACAGATCATTTCTGCATTGCCGCAGTTGTATGGACAGGAGGCAGAGGTGATCGTACGATGTACTAAGATGCTACACAACCGCAGGGATTACCTTAGAAGGAGAGCAAAGGTTAGAGTTCACAGGCTCAAAGATTTAATCTCTTAATTGCTTGTATGATGATGAATCATGCATTTGAATTCCTCTTATTTATGACACAATTGTGTGAATGAAGGTAATTCCTTAGGGCTTATATTGCTTAGATGTTATGGAAGAAAGCTAAATGTTAAAAAGAAACATTTCAAATTGACACTATATGTATAACTTAACAATTAGAATAATAGAATCTGTCCTACTAGCATAGGATGGTCTGCCCATACAATGTTTTAAAGGAATAGTTCATCCAAAAATGAAAATTCTGTCAATAATTACTCACCCTCATGTTGTTCCAAACCCACAAGACCTTCGTTTATCTTCGGAACACAAATTAAGATTTTTTTGATGAAATCCAAGAGCTTTCTGACCCTGCATAGACAGCAACGCAACTGACACGACATGAGTGAGAGTTCACCCACAATTTAAATTTTTGGGTGAACTATCCCTTTAAGCTGTTCATGTTAATGCTTGTTTGTTTGACAGTGCAAAATGTAAATACTAGAATAAGACTGCAATTAACAATTTTGAAAATGATCAGAGAAATGATCAACAGATCATTCGATTTAATGGATTGAGCAGATTAAAGAAAATGTTCTGTATATTTTGAAAAAAAACATGCTTTTCCATAACCTTCAAAAAAGTGTAAAATATAAAAAAGGCAAATATAATTGAATGAATTTAGGTTATTAAATACATTATGTGCACAAAAAAATAATACAAACTTCACATTATTAAAAAAAAAAAAACACAAGCAAAAGGACAATTCAATCATGTTTCAATTAAATATGGTCAGCATTATTGCATTGCCTATCTGTTAGAAGAGGGTTTTGCTGCAGACTGTAGCACGATGACGTAGTTCATCTAATCAACTAGACTACATAATAATTTAGCTGGCATAGGGGATGTTTTTAATGCGAATGCGTAATAGGAGATTTTGGTGACACACTGGATGTCTTTAATGCACGTGCATAATAATGAGGATTATTTGTTATCATACTCCATGACAAGGATGGACTCAACACCAACAAGTGAAACAGTAAGTGAATGAGCACAATTTGTGTTGTTGTTATATTGTTCGTGTATTTTAATGACACTTGCATTTTACATTAGCCCTTTTGGAATTGACTTATTGTTTTCCTAACATCATGCTGGGTCCTCATAACCCCTATATTGCAAATGTAAGAATATTTATAATAGCTTTTCAAAGTTGTCAAGGCAAACTTTTTACTGAAAAAATATAAGCTGATTAAATAAGCTGAAATCTTGATTATAACAAATTGTTAGCGAATTTTAATATTCAAAATGTTGATGTTAAAGATGTTAATCATTGTTTAATTGTAAATATCCTTTTTAGACGCATATTACTGTCCTTAGAAATGGAGAAAGCCCCTGTATCTCTAAGTGCACTCAGTGTTGTGACAAGTATCACTGCCCATTTTGTGAGACCTGGGTCTACACGCCAAGAGAGTTAGGGAGCGTTGTTAACCACGTCCAGAATCATCTGAAGTTGGCTGTCCAGCAGGATGGTGTGTATAGTGCTTCCAAATTCATGAAGATGTTCTTTTGTCAAGGAATGTTAATTCACTCTAGTTTATTATTTTTTTTAAACTTTTTTCAGATTTCACTATTGTCAAGTGTAACTTAAAATGCAGAGAATATGCACATTTTCATTGCTGCTACTGTCCTGCCACTGTCCTTCGAAGAGGCCAGTTAAAAACACATCTCACAAAATGCAAGCAGAAGTTCAATGCTGAAGAGGAATTTGAAGGAACATGCTCATTTGAGGAAAGTCCTGAACATGAGTAGTGTATTTTATTTTTATTTTTTAGTTCTGATACTGTTGATTCACTAGTTCATATATTTAGTTCCCTGTTAGCTACAGGTAACACTCAGAACTGTAGTATTTGGTGGATTATGAAACTATGTTGTGGAAATAAACATTTACTAAGAGTGTATCTGTGCTGCTTCTTTCAGAACTGTGAAGTGCTGTGTAAGGGCTAAAATATTTGTGACTTCTTAAATTCCCAGTCCTGTAGTTTAGTTTTTCCTCTGCGTATGAGTAATACAAGTAAAACACACATGTAACATATGTAATGCGAGAACAGTCTCCTGGAGTTAAAATATAAAACAAAATATATGTCAAAATAAAGCTTGACATATATAACTGCAAACAGTACTTGAAAATAGGATCCTCTACAAAAAACAAAACAAAAAAAATGTTAAATGTGTTTGCGCATACATATTAAAAGCATAGCTACTTCATCATACTACAGTCTGCAGCGAGAAGAGGGGAGACACCAAAAAATTATAAAAATATTTATTTAGTTGTTTATTTTTGAAGGAAAGTAATACTTTTATTCAGTAAGGACACATTAATTTTATCAAAAGTGACAGTAAAGATATTTATAAATGTATCAGTTTCCACCAAAAGCATGTTTAAAACATTTATAATAATACATATTTCTTAAGCACCAAATTATCATATTAGAATGATTTTTTTTAAGAATATTGTGACACTGAAGACTGGAGTAATGGCTGCTGAAAATTCAGCTTTGTGACAATCTCTTGACAAACTGCTCTGCCTCAACTTTCTTATTTCATTACTCATGTAAATAGGCAAATGGTGCTTGATGACATTATCACTATGCCAAACATTGTTGGAAAGTCAGCAGGGCCATTAACTCAGTAAGGTGTCGCTGGGTCTTTTAACACCCACTACTGTGAAATGCTGCCTGATTGTTGTGATCTTTTATTGCATATGTAAATGAAGAAGACAACTGAAAATCTGCTATTGTGAAACTGGATTTACCTGTTGGCCAGACAGACTCCTTGGTGGGCAAAATAAGCTACAACGTTGACCGGCTTTTATATTGAGAGAGAGAGAGAGATATATATATATTTTTTTTTTTTTATATATATCATTTTACATCAGCCTCACATATTACTGGAAAATCTATAGACTGCAGACAAAACAGGGTGGTGCTCCTACACTTTAGTGTATTTGTTATTTAAGCTTTTAACAGCTTTTTGTGTTTAGGCCATATCTCAGTTTATTGTGAAGCCTCACAATTAACAGTTTCAAATGCTGAACTTTAAAATGATGTGAAACATCTTTTTAAGATGTTCTTTTCTCCTGCAGGAAACTGCTGTGGAGAGAAACCTTTTACCTAGGGGCCAGCCATATCTTGTACAACTTCAAAGAGGTGATGTTTAAAATGTAAAGTTGTGAATAAAATATAGTTAAGTGCGACATTGTCCTCTGCTGTTTGTGTGGGTGTGCAGTTTTCTTTTTTAAGGAATATAGTCAGGCAGACTTTGTAACATTCATGGGAGCTCTTCGTGTGTGGGAAGGACATGGGGTGGGTTTGAAGAAAAGATTGAGGAGAAAGCGAGATTAAAATAATAGAATCTTAAAGTAGATGGGCTGCATTTTTAAGTTTAAGTTTTGATGTCTGGTTTAAAGATCATTAGATGTAAGATACGAGCTTCGATGATAAGTATGAAGAGCATGAAACACGGATGGACAAATACTTGACTATGTAAATAAATGCATGAAAATAGTTTTATACACGTTCCACCAATTTTCCTGCTCAAAACAAATGGGGTTGTTTACTGTTTCTATGTTTGTCTACATGAACAAGAAGGTTTGTTACGACACATGCCAACAATACTCCAGGTAGAAATGCAGTTTGTCTGCAGTGTTGTGGGATACGGTCCCGCTGATATTTGTTTCCCGTCGGCCCGTTATGCGGTGACGCTCACACTCCCTACAGCGACTGAGGGATTCAGAGCCCTTGTCTCAAACGGACAAAATTGATATTTCATCGAAGGTAAGCTTCTCTTTTATGAAATATTTGTTTACATTTGAGTGTATAGGCTATGTGTAGTACTCGTTTCCAGAATTTGCACAGGCGCCATCATTAAATGATTCCCGCTTCAGACTATTGATGAGGTGCGGAGTAGCTTTTCTAGTACGTTAATTTAACAGTGCAGGTTATTTATGAAACCAATGTGACCATTTTATCTTGGCTAGTTTACAGAAAGCGGGGCATATTAGACCAGAACAAATATTTTTTTATGCACGCTTTTTGGGGGAGAAATCAGTTTTCGTCCTTAGCCTGCTTGCTTTAGCAGACATGTCCCTTTAAACGAGAGAAATGCCCACCATCCACGGTTTTTTTTTTCACAGGCATCACGGGTCATGTCTTGTTTTTATACAGTCTATGGTCATGTCCTGTTGAAACCTGCACAGTCAGCTTGCCATAAAAAAATGTTGATTTCAAAGTGGGTATTGTTAATAACTATCAACCGTTTAAACCACGTAAGTAAAAAAAAAAAAAGGTTGCTGCAAAATCTTAAAGTGGCCACAAAATACATGTATTTTGTAAACATCTTAATATTTTCTGCTTGTACGTGGTGACAAATAGATGATCAGTATCTATCCTGGAGTCATTTGTTCACTGACATAAATGCTGGGTTTGTCCGTATTTTTAATAAATGTTCAATCGTTTTGAAAGAATCAAGCACCTAAACATAATACATAGACTTTTGCTAGGTTTTTAAAAACTGTT